ACACGTTAATTTAGACCTGATGCCTTACCTCGGTGGAGGCGAGCTCGACAGCGGCGAAGTGCGATGAGCTGGCGGCAACACTGAGCGGGGACGGCAAGCGCAGGCTGCGGCGATTTCCTGAGGTGGAGAGGAGGGGGGAGGTGATGGCGAGGATGACGTCGAGGGCTTGATCGATCTCCGGAGGCGGCGATGAACCTGAGGGCTGAGCTCGAATGCCGTCGGAGGCGTGGCTGATGACGAGGGGTGAGCTCGATGGCGAGGACGAGTAGACGGCGATGACCCGGCGGCGACGCTCAGCTGCGGTGATCTCGGGCGCTGGAGAGGAGGAGGGGAGGTGATGGCTAGGGCAAGGGGACGGCGGCGACGCTGATCGGGGACGTCGAGACACAGGCCGAGCTTGGGCGCCGGCGCTTTCGGGCGGTGGTGAGGGGGAGGAGGTCGGTGATGGCGACCGAATGCGCGATCTTGAGCCGGCGGCGACGCTGATCGGGGGCGGCGAGCTCCGGCGGCGATTTCGGGCGCTGGAGAGGAGGAGGCGGGAGGTGATGGCGCGATCTGGGCGGGAGAGATGAGAGAGGGGTAGGGATTTTGGGGGGATGGGATTTTCAACGAAGGGCTCAGATCTCTCTGAGGGGTTTTGAATAAACGGCCCAGATCGCGCATCCTCAGATGACAGCTATATATATATATATATATACTCTTGATATTTCTATTTCTAATATTTGTGTGTGTGTGTGTGAGTCTATGCTACTATTAATACTATCCAGCATGCGAGTACTATCAACCCAATTTTAAAAATCAAAACCTAAAAATAAAAATCTGAACCGGTAGATGTGATATACTGCGCATGAACTAGTTAGAAATAAAATCTTAAATGATTTCGACGTGTTTTTAATTATATATGTTTTGAATCATATAAGGAGAGCGGAAAATTAAACAACTTCATGAAAATTCTAAAATATTGATTTTGACGATATATTTTGCATAGGTTAATGATGATAAAATCCTTTAAAAATTTGCTTCTAACTAGGTCATGTGTAGTAGATCACATCTACCAGTTTAGATTTTCAATTTTGGGTTCCGATTTTCAAAATTGAGTTGATAGTATATCATCTCCCTTTTTTCCTCTTAGAATTTCTATATTAATTCTCCAGCTTGAATCATCTTCATCATTCACCAATGATGTCAAGCCTTCTTGTATTGCTCCTCGGAGTTGAGCTCTCGTTAATTTTGGCTCTCTGCAAACGCAGTTGACGAGGCAAACCGGGCCACACTAAACGAGACCCTCGACTTCATCCCAAGTCTCTCCGTCCTCAGCGTCTCCGACCTCCCCCACGGATTGTCACCGGCGACATCCGCTCGACTTGTACGTTCTCTCACCGTCGCGGGAGTCTTCGCCCTACCCACTCGCCACGCCATCGTCCTGAACACCTTCGCCGGCCTTAACCCGGACATTGACGCCGAGCTCGCCTCCCTCTTCAGGAACCATCTCCCCATCGGCCCCTTCAACCTCCTCAACAACGACACTATGGTCAACTACAACAACGGCGACTACGAATGCCTATCCTGGCTCAACCGCCACGGCCCTGCCACTGTCACCTACATCAGCTTTGGCACGATGATGGCACCTGGACGGTCAGGGGCGGATTTATGGGGTTGTCATAGTATGCATATGACAACCCCAAGACAATATGAATATGTAGTTGAGATGGTAAAAATCTTAAATTTTCTATTAGAGGTCGCGGGTTCGAGTGGTTTTGCATACCCTCATTTTTTTTTCATTCCTTTTATTAATTAGGCAATTCATGTTAAAAAACTAAAAGAGGCGGGAGCGGGGACACCTTTCCCCTTCCTTTACTGATCACGAATCACCGATCGCATCCCCTCACCCCTTCAATTTAGGCCATTCCTTTATCCTTTTTATTTTTCTTCTTCTAAAATTTAGAAATCCTAAATTTCCATAAACTTATCTAAATATTCACAAATTAAATCAGAGCAGTCCAAAGCTGAGCCAATTTCAGGTATGTTTAAACTTTTCCTCTATTAGTCTATTTGAAAGATTTAATTCTCAATTTCTCATGAATGTGAATAGTAATTAAAATAATGATTAAAAAAGTTTTTGATTAAAGATTGATTAGAATAATTATTACATAGATACTTGATAGGAACTGGTACAATGAAATTCAATTTCTTGACGATTGACGACTTGACGTTGCCGTTTTGCAAACATTTTCATTACACAAATTATGCAAATATGTTTCGTTGGTGTAATGGTGTTAGTTAGATGCTTGTCTTTTAAATTTGACATTTTATGTAATTAATATTTAGATACTTGTCTTTTAAATTTGACATTTTAAATTGGTTTCTTTTGATTTTTTTCCTTTACTTTTCTATTGATAAATGACAACCCTTATTTGAAATCCTGGATCCGCCCCTGTGGACGGTCCGACCTAGAGGAGCTCGCCCACGGCCTAGAAGCCGTCGGCGTTCCGTTCTTGTGGTCGTTGAAAGGTGAGGCAAGGGACGGGCTCCCGCCAGGGTTTCTCGATAGGACTAAGGGGAGGGGGCTCACCGTGGCGTGGGCCCCACAGGTTAGGGTGCTGGCCCACGCGGCGGTGGGGGCGTTCTTGACGCACTGCGGGTGGAACTCAGTAATGGAGGGCATCACCAGCGCCGTGCCGATGGTAAATTGTTACACGTATTCAGATGAGTTAATTGCGAATAGATCTAATTTTCTTTACTTTTAGAAAAGTTAAAAGAATCCAATCACCCCGTCTATATATCCTCACCAACAGAACCGCAACGGTCTGTCTGCACTTAAATCCAGTTTTATCCCGATTAAACCCCATCTATTTAACTATTATAGTTTAAATCCAGTTTTTCTGCCATTTTAATTATATTCAAGTACCCCCAACAGGTGTGCAGGCCGTTCTTCGGGGAACAAAAGGCGAATGCGAGAATGGTGGCCGAGGGGTGGAGGATAGGGGTGGCGATCGACAGTGAGGGCGTGGCGATGAGGGAGAAGGTTGTTAATGCTCTGAAAATGGTTTTGAGGGAGGAGGAAGGCGGGAGAATGAGGGAGAGGTTAGGAGAGATTAAGAAGCAAGCGGAGAAGGCAGTTGGAGACGGTGGGAGTTCGAGGGAGAATTTTAGAAGAGTTTTGGAGGTAATATGCGGCGATTTAGATGGTTGATGGTACTTGAAGTTTTATGATCAAAAGATTATTGTAGAGCGTATTTTAATGTTGGCCATTTGCGGATTCGTATCCTATATCCACTACAAATAAATAATGAAGAGATCGATCACTACTACATCACACTACATCATAAGTACTGTTATTTGTTTAATGGAGGTTGCGATTTGGCTTTGAACATAAACTAGGAAATGAGTACAAATCATGGGGGCATGCATGATGAGTGTTAGATTTGGAATGAATCATATATATAATCAGTTGTTAGACAAATCAACGGCTATGATTACTATAGTGGTCTTGTAGCAGAGTGGATCTAAATTTGTGATTTGTTTTCATACATTAATTATTTTAATTGTATTGATACTTACTGATTGCGTTGGAATTAAATTGCAATACTGCTATTGATTTCTAACTGTATTATTTAAACTTGTCAAAGTGGTCAAGAAGTTTCACTTTATAGACTAATCCGGTTACTTATCCCCCAACATATGCCATTAAATTTTGAATCTTACAAAGCAATGTCAACTGCTAAATAGCTCTTAATCTTCTATATGTACATCAGGGACATTACATCAGTTGATCAAACAATGTGTACCGAGTCATTGGCACTGAATTTATTGATAGTCTCAAGTCTCTACATAGTAAAATAAACCATATTAATTGAAGGGGGGCAAAAACACTAATAAAAGGATCTTAATTTCTAGACTATCTTAGGGTGTGTAAGTCAATGATAAATTAAAATTGGGGTTTACATTAATATTGCTAGCTAGGCACGTGGCATGTAGCTAGCTAGGAGAAGCAACTCATATATATTCCCTGCTCACATAATTCAAGGATGTATAAATGTACCATAAGTAACCGGTGGAAATTAAAGCTCAAGCATAAACCAAACGCAACAATGGCTGTTTGGTTGTATGTTTTTACCATGTAAAAGGATGTAAAGTGTAAAAAAGTGGGTCCCAATGTTAGCTTTCATCACTTTCAATTGTTTGTTTGTAGTTGTGAAAATAGTGTAAAGTGATTTCATTTGTTGATGTGGCTTGTAAAGTGATTTCATGAAAAAAAGACATGATTTTAGGAGAAAGCTAACATTGAAGTTAGGAAAAAATAATAAAAAATAATTCCAACCAATATGATCATTTGAGTAGGGACCACATTTTACACTTTCCAAACAAACAATTAAAGTTTCATTTTGCAAACCAAACAAGTGTTTTATGATTCCAATGGAATCAAAAACAAACAAAGGAAAATATAAAAGTGAAATTGATGAGGTGGACAACAACTTTCCAAGTTGTGTCATAAATACACAACTTTACCAACAACAACCAAACAGCCCCTAAGAAACTAACAAGAGGATCGAAGAGATTAAGATCCTCCAACTGTACGCCATTAATACCTTTTTCTGCTCATCAAAGAAAGAGAAGTGACTAGATGTAATATTTTTGTCTGCTTAGTAACATGCATGTGAGACTTCAAACAATAACTGAAGGCCAAACAAGACATCCTAACGTTTTCGTGTCAACAATATATATAGATTCTAATTTTTTTTTTTTTTCGGGGGGAGGGGGGGGGATGTAGATTGACTAAGTTCCAACAGTAAGGAGGACAATTAAGTAGAAGTATTATTCACACATACATCGATCTTCATGCATAAAAGCTTTGAACTCTAAAGATCATACCCTGTTTCATAATCTTGAAAAACTAAACCCCAAGAGCTCGACGATATTGCTTCCTCATCAAATGCATAGAACAAATCGTTTAGCTCGGCCTGCATCAAATTGAAGTTGGAGGAAGTCTCGCATGAATCTTGATCCTTGCTCCCTGCAGTCACAGGTTGATTATGACTCGGCTCATTCTCAGTGTTCTTGGTTGGAATCAAAGAATCATTTGTGCCCCTAAGAGGATGTAATTTAGACCAGAGTGCAGGGTTGTTATAGAAAGAGAAGGTATTGTTTATCCCTTGGAACTGTAAGTTGTGGAGTTGTATTCTCTCGAGAGCTGTAGAATTTAGGGTTAGGGTTTGTGAATTGGGCTTGGGTCGTTGCGAGGAAAATCGAGATGTCTCCTTAAGCGGGGGTCCGAGGAGCTTCTTCTTGAGCCTTGTGTTCCAGTAGTTCTTTATATCGTTGTCAGTTCTCCCGGGCAGCTGGGCTGCAATTATGGACCATCTGTTATTCATGGATAAGATTAGGGTTAGGAATCAGGAGGGAAATCAAATAGATATCATCGTTTGAGTTTAGATTTTGAGCATATTAATGTTCAACCTAAGGAGGGATGTTAAAGTGCTAATTTATATCATCAAATTAATACAATTGTAACTTCAGAGCTTTGACGTCGTATTTGGTACCTGCTTCCAATACTGATGTAGAGGTTGCAGATGATCTGGTCTTCTTCATCAGAGAAATCACCATGCTTTATGTTAGGCCTGAGATAATTGAGCCATCTGAGCCTGCAGCTCTTGCCACACCTCTTCAGCCCTGAAGTATGAATAATATGGTTAAGGGAAAATTTTGAAATGAATGATATGACTGAATGATATGATTTAGAAAAAACAAAAACGAAATAAAAAAACAAAAGGAACTATATATGTTCATAGCTAACTAGATCTTTTCTATGAGAACCTTAGTCGAGACATGTACATTTCCTAGCCTTGACCTAGATAGAAACTTACTTATATGAAGAAGAACACAAAGTTTAGGGAGGAATTAGCTAAAGAACCTATGTATTCAAGTAACATTAAATCTAATGCAAGATTAGAAGTAATCAATAGAGGGTTTAATTAAAAAAAAGGATAATATATAGTTACCAATCTTTTGAGGGAGAGCAATCCAATTGCCAGTTCCATTCTCCTTTATGTAAGCCTTGAGCGTAGCGTCCTCCTCTTGTGACCATGGTCCCTTCTTCACGTTCGCCTTATCGCAGCACGGCGCTCTACCCATTCTCTCTCTCTCTCTCTCTCTCTCTCTCTCTCTCTCTCTAGAATCTCAATAGTGATGAAGTTTTGGGTGATGAGAAAAGAGGAAGAAGGTGGGCGAAGCTTTATAGGAGGGCAGCGAGAGAGGAAATTAAGGATGAGATACATAATGTGATGCTTGCGAGAACTAAAGCTGTTCTGCCTTTTTTTTCCGAATACAGAAGAATTATTCAAACGCCTATTGATGAATATTACAAGACTACTGGTCATCTACTTAGAATATCTAACGGATATTACAAGACTTGTCATCCCCGTATTTTTACTTTAAAAAATAAATATTAGAATGAATGCAAAACTATAATTCTCTATCATCACCATAACTTTATAGCTTTGATGTGATGGTTAGATGGACGAAACTTAATTCTTGGAAGTTATAATTAGTCACGGACTTACAACATTTAAGGATTAATAATTACAATCAAACTACCATATTAGTACTATAATCACCTTTAAAATCTATACCGGCCGATATGCTGGTGTTGGTCCCTTCCTCCCTTTTACTTTCCGTACAGAATAATTTAATTAATTAATTCCAAGTCAAACAGACAATCAACCCAATTCACGATGAGAAAACAATATAATTAACCAACAATTCAACCAGATATTGGCCCATATCATATGTATCTGATGCCACTAACACAAGCTAATCATAATCCAAACATATATAGTATCATTAAATTTTACATATTTGTCAATACTCGTACATGAAGAAAATAATTCTCATGTTTGGATTAATCATCCGTTTGTAATTAGAATGATTACGCTTTCATCCCATATGTAGTTATCGTTATCACTATAAATTATGAATATTCTTCACTATTAGCTAGGTCAAAAGTACAAATTAAATCATCTATATATATGTACAAATTAATCCATATTAGTTTGATCATATCAAATTTAAATATTACCGACACACGACATATCAAAGTCTAGAGACAACCCTAGCTCTTCTTTTGACAAGTGGGACTAAGGACTTGGATTAATTATTTTAGAGATAGCAAGCAGCTGGGGCAAAAAAAACACTAAAAACAAAAGGGTTCGGCTTGCAAAAACCTAGCATTGACCTTTGTTTCTCTCCCTTGACGTCTAGAGGTGAGAGCAAAACTAATTAATTAAGAAGAAAACCCCAAATCAAAAAGGCTTAAGATATGATTAACTAGCACAAGTAGCTAGGGAGCACGTACTTAGATACAAGCAAGCTAAGAAAAGGGAGGATTGTGTGTAATTTTTACTCCTTGTCCTGGCCTCTTCTCCAGAATCTCATGGCCTGGTGGTGCTGCATGTCATCAGCATTATGACCAATTAATCTTGAACTTGGAGGAGGCTGGTGGAGATAAGCACAAAGGAATAACAAATGTACTTTTGAGGGGTAAGGGGTCTAATTAGTACAATTTATTATTGCGATCGAGCCATTCATTAAGCGAGAATGTGAAGTACGTTACTCAAAATCATCAAGACTGAGAGCTTATAATAAGATTTCCCCTCCATCACAGCCGTCAATGTCTACATTCATAGAGCACATTCAGAATTCAATTAATATATATATATTCAAAATAACTCGAAAATAGAGAAAAACTTATGTCAACTTAAGTGGACGTCCACTAAGTTTCTTAGTCATTGATGATCACTTGATTAAGCTACATTGTGGATGATCCGCTCCGTTGAATTTGATCTATATATTCTAAAACCCCAACACACCAAATTTGGGGTGAACCCGTCGTGGTTTGATCCTTCATCCACTCGTATCAATTTTAACGGTTTCGAATGAATAGAACTTTTTACATGGCTCGACGGAGGGTCAAACCACGACGGGTTCACCTCAAATTTGGTGTGTTGGGGTTTTAGAATATGTAGATCAAGTTCAACGGAGCGGATCATCCACAATGTAGCTCAATCAAGTGATCATCAATGACTAAAAACTAGTGAGCGTCACAAGTGACATAAGCTCCTCGAATTATATACTATATATATATATATACTATACATATTTATATATATATACTATATATACTAATATATATATATATATAATATATATTATATAATATACTATGTATATTATGCTAATATATATATAAGATGAGCATGAGAGGGCAGAGAAGACAGAGATTAATGGCGTATCCTTGTCAATGGCAGGGGATTTCCCGTTATGACGCCTCCTAAAATCAATGATTGATTCGACATTGTGATGATCCGCTCCGTTGAACTTGCATCTACATATTCTAAAACCCCAGCACACCAAGTTGGTCGGAAATCCCGTCGTCGTTTGACCCTCCGATCGAGCCATGTGAAAAGTTCTCATTCATTTCAAAACCCGGTTTAAATTGATATGAGTGGTATGAAGGCGTCAAACGGACGACGGCGTTCACCCCAAACTTGGTGATTTAGCGGTTTTAGAACTATGCATAGATCAAGGTTAACGGAGTGATCATTCCCACAATGTCGCTTCAATCATGTGATTCTTTAGATGGCGTCATAGGAGAAAATCCCCTCCTATGACAAAC